GTTTGGTGGCTAGGGTATGTTAATTCTGATGTCTCAAAAGAAAACTTAGTCAAATAAATTTGGAAAAAAGCATATGAAAGCCTTAGAAAAATTCTAAAGAAAACCTGTTTTCTGTTTAATTTAACCAAACATTTCCAAGTTTATTTTACCCTAAGATCCTTTTCTTATTGATATTAAAGATTAGCATTTGAAGAGCACCTGAAGAGTAGGAAAAGGAAAATGGTCCCAGTTAATCAAGGCTTTGAAAGCTGTATGATTTGTCAGTTGTGGGGTTGGAGAAAGGCCCAAAGCAGACACAACTAGTACTATTTAGAAACAAATGAGTCAGAACCCATCTCTCCAGGAGTTCCAAGACAAACACGTGGAAATACATAAAACCAAGGTGCCTAAGGCCATGTGAGCTGTATAACTGCTAAGTGTTCTGGAAGACATCTTTGATGGAAGAGATGGGACAGGGATGGTCAGGTTACCTGGAGTGAACTGCTAGGTTTCCACCTCAAGCTGAAAGGTTATTTTTAAAAAGCCATGTTTCAAAACAAAAATGAGATGGTGGTATGAAATGATAGTTTGAGTGCCCTTGGAAATGAATAAATGGTTTTATTAGGACACCAGGTAGATCCTATATGTGTTTAGAGTGAGATGAGGGGAGGGGAGAGTGAGAGCTGATGCTGTTACTGCTGGACCCAAGTTGAGTACCTGAAGATAGAAAGTTTCATTGCAGGTCTGCACAACCATTATTTGCCTGTCACATCATACACCCTTCTAGGACTAAGTGTCTGACTCACTTTGTCTCCAGTGATGTGTACGTTAGTTCATTCTCACACTGCTGTAAAGAACTACCTGACACTGGATAATTTATGATGAAAAGAAAATAATTAACTCACAGTTCTGCAGGCTGTACAGGAAGCATGGCTGGGAGGCCTCAAGAGACTTACAGTCATGGTGGAAGGGCGAAGGAGAAGCAAGCACCTTCTTCACATGGCAGAGTGGGAGACAGCAAGCAAAGTGGGGGGAAGTACTACACACTTTTAAACACCCAGATCTCCTGAGAACTCACTATCATGAGAACAGCAAGGGCAAAATCTGTCCCCCATGATCCAATCACTTCCCACCAGGCCCCGTCTCCAACACTCAGGATCACAATTCAACATGAGATTTGGGTGGAGGACACACAGCCAAACTGTATCATTCCTCCCTGGCCCCTCCCAAATCTCATGTCTTTACATTTCAAAACACAATCATGCCTTCCCAACAGCACCCCAAAGTCTTAACTCAAACAAGTCAAAAGTCTCATCTGACTTGAGACAAGTCAAGTCCCTGCCTCCTATAATCCTGTAAAATCAAAAACAAGTTAGTTACTTCCAAGATACAATGGGGATACAGGCATTGGATAAATGCTCCCATTCCAAACTTGAGAAATTAGCCAAAACAAAGGGGCCATGGGCCCCATCGAAGTCCAAAGCCCAGTAGGCCAGTCATTAAATCTCAAACCTTCAAAATGATCTTTGACTCCCATGTCTCACATACAGACCACACTGACACAAGGAGTGGGCTCCAAAGGACTTGGGCAGCTCTGCCTTTGTGGCTCGGCTGGGCATAGCCCACACGGCTGCTCCACAGGATGGCATTAAGTGCCTGCAGCTTCTACAGGCACACAGTGCAAGGTGCCAGTGGATCTACAATTCTGGGGTCTGGAGGATGGTGGCTCTCTTCTCATAGCTCCACTAGGCAGTGCCCAGTGGGGACTCAGTGTGCGGGCCCCAACCCACATTTCCCCTCCACACCACCCTAGTAGAGATTATCCATGAGGGCTCTGCCCCTGCAGCAGACTTCTATCTGGAAATCCAGGCGTTGCCATACACACATCCTCTGAAATCTAGGAGATTCCCAAACCTCAACGCTTGTCTTCTGCACACCCACCTAACACCACATGGAAGGTACCAAGGCTTGGGGCTTGCACTCTCTGAAGCGGCAGACCAAGCTGTACCTTGGCCCCTTTAATTTAGTCTCAGCTGGACCTGGAGTGGCAGGGATGCTGGGTGCCATGTCCCAAGGCTGCACAGAACAGTGGGGCCCTGGGCTTTGCCCACAAAACCAATTCTCCATCCTAGGCTTCCAGACCTGTGATAGGATGAGCTGTTGTGCAGGTCTCTGAAATGCTCTGGAGACATTTTTCCCATTTCTTGACTATTAACATGAAGTTCTGCTTATGTGAATTTTTGCAGCCTTGAATTCCTCCCCAGAAACGGTTCTTTTTTACCACATGGTTGGGCTGCAAATTCTCCAAACTTACATATTTTTTAATGTAAGTTATTTAAGGTCATTTCTTTGTTCATGCAAATGAAAATAGGCTTTTAGAAGCAGTCAGGCCACATTAACACTTCGGTGCTTAGAAATTTTTTCTGCCGGATGCCCTAAGTCCTCTCTCAAGTTCAAAGTTCCACACATCTCTAGAGCGGGGGCGGGCACAATGCCTCCAGTCTCTTTGCTAAAACGTAGCCAAGAGTGACCTTCACTCGAGTTCTAAGATTCTCATCTCCTATCTGAGACCAACTCAGCCTGGACCTCATTGTCAGTATCACTATCAGCACTTTGGCACAACCATTCAATAAGTCTCTAGGAAGTTGCGAACTTTCCATCATCTCCCTGTCTGTCTTATTCTGAGCCCTCTAAACTGTTCTGACCTCTGCCCATTACCCAGTTCCAAAATCGTGTCCACATTTTCAGGTATTGTTAGTAGCAGGGCCCTACTTCTCTGGTACCAATTTTCTGTATTAGTCCGTTCTCATACTGCTATGAAAAACTACCTGAGACTGGGTAATTAAAAGAGGTTTAAATGACTCACAGTTCTGCAGGCTGTACAAGAAGCATGGCTGGGGAGGCCTCAGGAAACGTACAGTCATGGTGGAAGGGTGAAGGAGAAGCAAGCACCTTCTTCACATGGCAGAGTGGGAGAGAGCAAGCCAAGGGGAAAGTACTACACACTTTTAAACACCCAGATCTCATGAGAACTCACAATGATGAGAACAGCAAGGGGGAAATCACACCCCCATGATCCAATCACCTCCCACCAGGCCCCACCTCCAACACTCAGGATCACAGTCCAACATGAGATTTGGGTGGGGAAAAGAGCCAAACCATATTAGTGCCCAGGAATGCATGAACCATCAGTGCTCTTTTCTCACCTGAGAGCAAGAATGGAAAAAAACATGACCTCTTCAAAGATTAAAACATTTGTTTAATCATTTTATTTGAACGTCTGGAAGAGCAGTTATCACTACTGTGGCTATCCAACCGTCCACCCAGATAAAGTTCAATTATCCACTTAAAAAATACTCAGGATTATGAGCATCCCATAATTCCAACATCATCTTGTGAAGAAACTAGCTGGATTAGGGCTATCGTAAAACAATAACCTGGGATTGTTGTACGTCGGTTTTTGCCAATTTGACCTGTGGATTCAATGCAATCCCAATAAAAACCCAGCAAGTTACTTTGTGGATCTTGACAAACTGACTCTAAAGCTTACATGGAAAGGCAAAAGACCCAGAATAGCTGGCACAATATTCACAATACTGAAAGAGAAAAAGGTCAGAAGACTGATAGAGCCAACTTTAAGACTCACTATAAAGCTACAATAATCAGGGTGGTAATAGTGAAAGGATAGATATAATCACTGAAAATGAATAGGGAGCCCAGAAATAGCCCTACACAAATATAGTCAACAGATCTTACACAAGGAAGCAAATGCAATACAATGGAGAAAAGAGTCTTGGCTGGGTACAGTGGCTCATGCCTGTAATCCCAGCACTTCCAAGGAGGATGGATCACTTCAGTCCAGGAGTTTGAGACCAGCCTGGGCATATAGTTGAGTCCTCATTTCTACAAAAATACCTTTAAAAATTAGCTGAACATGGTAGCATGCATGGGGGCAGGGATCACTTGAGCCCAGGAAGCAGAGGTTGCAGTGAGCCAAGATGACATCACTCCACTCCAGCGTGGGTCAACAGAGTGATACCTTCTCAAAGTCTTCGTTTTTGAGACGGACTTTTGCTCTTGTGGCCCAGGCTGGAGTGCAAATGTCATGATCTTGGCTCACTGCAACCTCCGCCTCCCACATTCAAGTGATTCTCCTGCCTCAGGTTCCCAAGTAGCTGGGATTACAGGCATGCGCCAACCATGCCAGGCTAATTTTGTATTTTTAGTAGAGACGGGGTTTCTCCATGTTGGTCAGGTTGGTCTTGCACTCCCGACCTCAGGTGTTCTACCCACCTCAGCCTCCCAAAGTGTTGGGATTACAGGTGTGAGCCACGGCACCCAGCTCTCAGAGTTTTTTCATCAACAAATGGTGCTGGACAACTGGACAACAACATGCAAAAAAAGAAATCTTAATCTAGACACAGACTTCAAAAGTTAATTTCAATAAAATTAACTCAAAGTAGATCATGGACCTAAATATAAAATGTAAAACACAAAACTACAACTCCTGGAAAATAAAGAGAAATTTAGATGGCTGTGGGTTTGGCGATAATTTTTAAAAATACAACACTAAAGGCACAATCCATGAAAAAACAGACAAGCTGGATTTCAATAAAAATAAAAACTTCTGCTCTGTGAAAGCCACTGTCAAGATAATAAGAAGACAGACCACAGACTGGGATAAAATATTTGCAAAAGGCACATCTGATAAAGGACTGTTATCCAAAATAGACAACACTTAAAATTCAATAATCAGAAACACCCAATTAAAAAACAGGCAAAAGGCCTGAACAGACAACTCACCAAGAAGCAAACATATGAAAAGATGTTTAACACATCATGAGGGGACTGCAAATGTCAAACAATCAGGTACCACCACACAACTATTAGAATAGCCAAAACCCAGAATGCGTATACCACCAAATGCTGGTGCAGGCATGGAGCAACAGGAACTCATTAACTGCTCGTGGGAATGCAAATGGTACAGTCACTTTGACAGTCTCATAAAATGAGACAAACCATATGATCCAGCACTGAAGCTCCTTGGTATTTACTCAAATGAATTAAAAATATGCCCATAGAAAAACCTGCACACAGATGTAGACAACAGCTTTATTCATAATTGCCAAAACTTAGAAGCAACCAAGAAGTCTTTCAAGAGGTGAATGGATAAACTGTTCATCTAGACAATGGAGTATTATTCAGTGCTAAAAATAAACGCACTATTAAGCCATGAAATGACATGAAGAAACCTTAATTGCATATTACTAAGTGAAAGAAGTCAATCTGAAAAGGCTACATACTATATGATTCCAATATAACATTCTAGAAAAGGCAAAATTATGGAGACAGTAAAAAGTGGCTGCCAAAGAATGAGATCATGTCCTTTGCAGGAACATGGATGGAGCTGGAGGCCATTATCCTTAACAAACTAACACAGGAACAGGAAACCAAACGCTACATGTTCTCACTTATAAGTGGGAGTTAAATGACTACATGGGCACAAAGGAGTAACATACTAGGGCCTACCTGAGGGTAGAGGGTGGGAAAAGGGACAGGAGCAGAAAAATAACTATTGAATACTGGGTCACTGAATAATCTGTATAATAAACCCTCTTGTCACGAGTTTACCTGTACATGTACCCCCTGAACCTAAAATAATTACTAAAAAAAAAGCGGTTGCCAGGGCGTTAGGGAAGGAAGGAATGAACAGGTGAGGCACAGACAAGTTTTAGGGCAGTTAAACTATTCTATATGATGCTATAATTGTGGTTATGATTACACATTTGTCCAAACCCACACAATATACAACACCAAGAATGAATCTTCATGTAAACTATGAACTTCGGGTGATAATGATGTGTCAATGGAGGTCTACTGATTGTAACAAATGTACCACACTGGTGTGGGATGTTGATAGTGGTGGGAGGCTATGCATATGTGAGGCCAGGGGATATATGAGAAATTTCTACTTTTTGTTCAATTTTGCTCTAAACCTGTAATTGATTTTAAAAAATACTTTATTAAAAATTTTTTTTAACTGTAAACATGAAATCAAGAGTAATAGGAGGGTCCTCTGGATTTAAGAATAAGTTTTTTGTTTTGTTTTGTTTTTATAGAGACAGGATCTTGCTATGTTGCCCAGGCTGGTCTTGAACTCCTGTTCTCCAGAGAGCTTCCTGCCTCAGCCTTGTAAAGTGCTGGGATTATAGGCATGAACCTCTGCACCCAGCCAAGATTGCCATTTTGTAGGATAAGACTGGAAAGACCCCATTGTATACTCTGTAGCAAAATCCTGAAACAATCTATGAGACAGTGGCTGGGCTTTTTTCCTGCCTGATTAGTTCAGTGCACAAACAACTTGGAGCAGAGGATCTGGGTTTGAATCCCAGCTCTGATAGTTCCCAAACTAAGCTGTTTTCCTTATTTGTAAAGAATAAATGAGATCACATGTCAAAGAGCTCTGTTAAATCTCACACACATACAAGTGCTACTGCTGAAATGACGTATAGATGTATCTTAAGAATGTTCCAGATGAGTAAGTATTGGTTATTATGTATGACCACACCTTAGTGTGCTCCTGGTCAGCTCCTGACTTTGAGAAAACACCAATAGGAAGGCCCATGTCCCATGCACAAGACAACCAGCTCAAAGCAGGAACAGGCATTGAGAGATGAAAGAGACATAGTCCTACAGTTGTCTGATCTAGGTACAACTTGCAATGAGAAGGAAGGGACAGAAGCTCTAAATAGACCCACATACACACCACAAGACATAATACAGCCACCAGCCAACTAGTCAAGCAGCACAATTCCCAAGCATCCTTTTGGTTAAACAGATAAAAGAATGGCTACCATACCACAACTGTGAAAGCTGGGGAACAGCATCCACAGAGCAGAAGTCATTTCTGCTGAGTGTCCAAATCCCATATGCCTGGCTATAGCAACTCTCTTTGCATGCCCAACAAATGAAACATTCTTTTCATTTCAAGGTATTGAGGCAGCCAACACCCTGAAAGTTCACTGTGCAGGGCAATCTACAATGGGGCCAAGTGCTAAAGCGAAAATTTATTAAAATTCATTTATATTGTGTTTCATAGACAAAAGTAGAGTCTTCAACATTCAGGCAATCACCTGTATTTTCAGAAGTGCTTCACGAGAAGATGGATTTCCTTCCCCTTCCCACAATAAGATATTTATGTCTATTCTCCTAAAAATGATGCATTTATTTATGCAACCTTTGTAAGAACAATCCCTTTGCGATCCCAAAACCTGGGCACAGTGAAAAGAGACAAACAGAACCTTCTCCAAAATGGTAGTCCTCACAACAGAGGTGTAGTGCAAGAGACATGTAAAATGGCAGCTCTTCAGAGGAGTATGTGTACACCCAGCGGGTAGGCAGCCCTTTAGCTTCGGAGTGTGGCCAGCCTGGACTGCATGGCCTCCAGGGCTTCTTCCTCCTCCTCATCCTCTGAGGGAGCCATCGCTCCTGAAGGCTCTGGCTCTGGAAGGGCATCAGTCACTTTACTGGGTGCTTTGCCCAAGGCCCCTGAAAAGAAAAAGCAAAGATGAATACCACATTGGCTTAAAGAAGCAGCCCCTCAATCTTCCCCGCCTTTCATTCCTGGGCCAATCTGAAAAGATACAAAAATGAGACAGTAAAGCAAGCTGTTTTGGGGGGGTTTTGCTCACTCTGGAAAATGTGCAAATAACTACCTGTAATGATACCAAAGTCATAATAACTATACGGATTTTAAGAATCTTTGTCCTGAAGCTCCTAATCTAAATTCCTAAACACTACTGAAAACTTTAAATCTCCTTTCTAAATAAAACTAAATTGTGTCTAACATATACGTGTGTGTGTGATATATATATATATATATTATTTATTTATTTATTGAGATGGACTTTCACTCTTGTCACCCAGGCTGGAGTGCAATGACCTGATCTTGGCTCACCGCAACCTCTACCTCTCAGGTTCAAACGATTCTCCTGCCTCAGCCTCCGAAGTAGCTGGGATTACAGGCATGTGGCACCACGCCCAGTTAATTTTTTTGGATTTTTAGTATAGGCGGAGTTTCTCCATGTTGGTCAGGCTGGTCTCAAACTCCCAATTTCAAGTGATCGGCCCACCTGAGCCTCCCAAATTGCTAGGATTACAGGCGTGAGACACCACACCTGGTCCACAAATTATTTTCTTGGAGTAACTGTCTTCCTTTCCCCAACAACTTAAAACCAACAAACGAACAAATAAAAAACTCCACCATCTTTTCTTTATTAAACATAAACCTCAAGAAAATCTAAAAGTAAAAAAGCTTAAAAATTCATTAACCATCACTTAGAGATTACTATTTTTGTCATCTCCCTTCCAAACTTCTATAGACATGTTTTTTACATAAATATTTTTACACAAATGTATTTCACTAACAAGGCTTTATTCACATATTGTAAACATTTTTCCATGTTAATGAGTATATTTCTATATCATCTATCACAATATATAGTATTCCATTAAAATAAATGTAACACAAATGATTTTATTAGGCATTTAGCTTGTTTTGAACTTTTTTTTTTTTTTTTTGGAGACAGGATCTCACTGTCACCCAGGCTGGACTCAGTGGTGTGATCATGCCCCACTGCAACCTTGACCTCCTCGGCTCAAGCGATCCTCCCTCCTCAGTCTCCCAAGTAGCTGGGATTAAGGCGTGTGCCACCACACCACCTAATTCTTATATTTTTTTGTAGAGACAGGGTTTAACCATCTTGCCCCGGCTGGGCTCTTGAGCTCAAGCAATCCACCTGCCTCAGCCTCCCTCACAAAGTTGGGATTACAGGCGTAAGCCACTGTGCCTGGCCTTCAGACTTTTCTTTATTATAAATAATGCTACTACAGACATCCTTAAGTATTTCAGCACATTCTTAATTATTTCATTAGTTTAAACTCCCAGAAGTCAGTCTGTTAGGTCAAAGACTTAATATATATATTTTTGAGATGGAGGTCTCACTATGGTTGCCCAGGCTGGTCTCCTGGGCTCTAGTGATCTACCCGCCTTGGCCTCCCAAAGTACTGGGATAACAGGTGTGAGCCACCGCACCTGGCAAGGTCAAGGGCTTTTGAATGGCTACTGCCGAACTGCTTTCAACAAAGGCTATACCAATTTAAAATCCCAACAGCAATACATGAGAGCAGTATCTTCCCTTAAAATCAAGAAAACTCTAAAAATTTTAATAATTATTTGTGTTTTTTAAAAGATGGCTAGGCTATAGAAATTGGGCTTACTTTTCAAGAAATAAGCTGCATAATCTAAAATGTTAAAAATGTAGAAGGGAGTTAAAGCCTAAAGAAAAAGCTACTAGTTAATTTGGTGAATGCAGGAAGAATAATGATAAAGGGAGAGGAGAAAAGATGGATCTCATGGTCATACCTGCTGTAATTTCAAATAGAATTTTGTCAATTTCCATTTCTGCTTCTTCCTCCATTTCTTCCTGATCATCCATGCTTTCAAAAGTGTCCTCTAACATCTCCTCTATGATCCCAGCCTAAACACAAAATAAATATGTCACTTCGGTCAACTGTTAAATCTGTTTCCATCAGACACCCTACATATCACCTAGACTGAGCTCCTAAGTGCAGTCCATCCTTTCAAGGACTGACACACAAGACAATTGGCCAAAGGAAACAGTGGATGTGTCCTCTCTGCAGCAATGCAAAAGCTCCAAGGGGAAAAGGCTCTCTAAATTTAACACCCTAGGGTTAGGAAGTGACACTACTGGCTGTCAACAGAGCTTCCTAAAGTAACTCAGACTTAATATAATGGCAGCATTTGGGAAACAGCTCGCTGACAGATGAGTGTATTTCCAGAGCTGTTTTAGGAAGCATCTGCCCTAAGACTGCAAATATAATCTGTGAACACAGGGGTGGGAATATGGTATGAAGAGTGTTTGGAGCTGTAGTAGATGCTGTGACAACAAATGCCAATAGCAGGAAAGAAGCCAAAAAAGTCCTGAAGAGGACTCTGGTTTGTCCAGGTTACATATGCCAGAATAGGGTAATCTGGTAGGTCTGCAAGGATCTATTAACCAAAACCTGATCACCCAGGAGTGGGAGAACTAAGATAATATTTCTGGACCCAACAAGGTAAAGGCCAGATACTTTTCCAGAAGTCCTGTGCCTGGAAGCCTGCAGGAGCCAGCCAGTTAGCCTCCTTGGTTCTCAAGGCAGCATGGCACCACCGCAGGACACAAGCAAATGGCTTTAACACTGGCCCAAACCAACCTGGCCCTGCGGTCTTTGTGCTTAGCAGTTACTCAACTCCCAGTTAGGGCCCTATTGAATGTTGGTTGCTACTGAAGCAAAAGTCAGAAGAGCACCCTCCAAAGTCAACAAAGGGGCTGCTGACATCCCTGGGCAGAACAGGTAGGAGGGGGCTGAGTGGCTGTGGTGGAGGGCATGGGTTCAGGTTTCCACAAAACTGCTAGAAAAAGAAAATCCTGATTGTCTTGCCACCTGAAAAAACGAAGTCCCTTGCTTTGTACCTTGATGTTCTGGTGATTCAAGGAGCAAAAGGTCATGTGTGGCAGCTCCGGCTGCCTGCTTGAATCTAACGAGCACCCCGTTCTGCCGATACTCAGATCCATTCTTCCAAACCAAAAAACAAATAAATTCACATTCATGTTCACCCAGGTGGAACGCTAGGGCCTCCCCGAATGGGGTCATCTTAGTACTGGGGGCTACTGTAAAAGAAGTGCAATAAATGCTTGCTAATTGGTTAAAAAGAGTCCACCAGAATCCTAATTGTAATAGCCTTTCACACTCTGGAGGTAGAAGTTGTTGTTTATTTATTCATTCGACCAACAAGGATTCATCAAAGTCCTGATCTGTGCCACACAATAAGCCTGGGGACAAACGGAATAACTAAGATTGTGTTCCTGCCCTTGAGGAGCTGGGCCCCTACTGGGGTCTTCACAACCTACTACATGCAAGCCTTCCTCCAAATCTGTATTGCTCCCATTATTCAGAAACCATTATGAAAAAGGTCCTAGATTCTTAAAAAAAAAAGGCTTCCCTCTGAGATCCTGGAGGGTCTATGAGTTAAGATGAGCAGGCCTGAAAGCACTCCAAGCATGATCTTGTTATCCAGTTCTAGGTGAACAGTCATCACCAACTTGAGGGCAAGACACCTACACACTATTTGTAAAGGACATACCGTCCTGACCCAGTTCTTTCCTTGCTGCTACTGCCCAAGAAGTTCTCATTCAAACCACCTGGAACCTGGGCTTTTTTATATTGCTTTTCTGCCAATTTTCTTTTCCAGCCCCTCTCTCCTATGCCCTAAAGCCTGTATATATTCAAGTTCATAAATGAAATTCCCTGAGAGGAAGGGAGGTGATTTCTATGCATAGCCTCTATATAAGAATTTGAGGTGTATACTCTTGGTTGTCAGCCACAGGTCTGAAGCATGAAACATCATCTGTGTGACGGACTTCCATCCTCATTTCCTCTGTGACAGCTCACGTGATAAGGTCAGACATCAGTGCCCCAATTCCAGATCTTCACTTACAACCATGGTAATCTTAGGGAAACTACCTGGCAACCCAAAGGCTCAGTTTCTGTCTGTATAAAAAGAGGACAAGGCCGGGCGCGGTGGCTCAAGCCTGTAATCCCAGCACTTTGGGAGGCCGAGGCGGGTGGATCACGAGGTCAAGAGATTGAGACCATCCTGGTCAACATGGTGAAACCCCGTCTCTACTGAAAATACAAAAAATTATCTGGGCACGGTGGTGCGTGCCTGTAATCCCAGCTACTCAGGAGGCTGAGGCAGGAGAATTGCCTGAACCCAGGAGGCAGAGGATGCGGTGAGCCGAGATCGCGCCACTGCACTCCAGCCCAGGTAACAAGAGTGAAACTCTGTCTCCAAAAAAAAGAGGACAAAAAGCCCCACCTCTCAAGATAGCTAGGAAAACAGACTAGGACATATGACAGTATGTGGCTGCTGGGGCTCAGCAGCAATGCCCTCTTTATCTCTGTCCTTGTCTGAAGGCCACGATTAACAGTCCTTGCCAGACCCTGATCCTGGGGGTGGCAGGTATTTACATGCTATTTGATTCTCAGACTCTCCTTTTTTAGTTTAAAACAAGAATCAGCAAACTACAGCTGCTGTAGGCCAAATATGGTCTCTGCCTGTTTTTGTAAATAAAGTTTCTTTCCATCTCCTTGCCTATGTTGGACCCTGCAAACTTTCTTTCCTTGATCCTAAATGGTTGCTCCTCGGATCCCCCCCTGCCCAGGATCCTCTAGAGCTCTGGGCAGACTTTTGTTTCTTCTACAGAGCACTCTGGCAATCTGACTCAGCCTCTGCCATGCTGAGCTCAAATGGTTTCAATCAATGTTAACAGCTACTCCTTAACATTATTTCTGTGCAGCAGATGTAGTCTGTTTATCCCCACCCACCCTTATCCCTAGCCCCCTGCTACTTGCTTAAAGTGACTCCAGGGTTTGCAAAGGGAAGCAGGGCTAGCCCCAGGTCACCTTCATCATTTCTTTGGACAGCTCCCTCATGGTGGCCTGAATTTCTGGAATCTTCACAAGACTTTGCATGGCCTTCATCACTTCTGTGCTCTTCTGCAGGGAACCAGCCACTCGCAAGACCGCTGAAAGAGAATGGATATAGTCAGGATTGTTCAACACGATGGAATAAAGAGAGAACCAAATTATGAGCCATTCCCAATAGATGAGAGGAGCAGCAGCAGATGGACTCCCAAAGTTACTTGTGTGCCTTTAAATTGATTATTGTTCTAGCTGACCAAGAGGCTGACTTTTCTAAATTGTATGCTATCTGGGTTACTACTGATATAAATTCAATGAGCATGCACAGCAACTGACCAATCTGGAGTGGCCTGAAGCCACTCTTGACCTTTGGGAAAGGAAGCCAACTCGGAGTAGCTATGACATCCAGGAAAATTACAAATGGGAGGAACAGCTCCAGACCTTATAAAGGCCACATTAGAAAGGAGAAAGCTTTAGGACCCAAATAGAGCTCCCTATACACCAGCCTTTGGACAGTGTCTGTTCAGTATGGAGCCAGCTTATCACTCGTCCTCAGAAAAACAAGAGAAATGAGGATAGATAACAGTGAATATGTGGTATGTGTGTCAGTGTGAGGTGTTTCTTTACTAGAAAAAAATGTTCTGTAGTCTGAGATTGTATGCATACTACAATCTTCTTTATAAGAAATCATGGCAGTATCAAAAGATCCTTGCCCCACCCTCAATGTCTTTAACATGTTAAAGAGTTGGCAACCAACCAAACCTGTTTGGAATTTCGTGAGGCTTGAAGTTCTGAAAGCTGTCCCCTAAAACTGGTGCACAGACTTCCTTCCTCCTTCCTCCTGGCTAATCCAGGAGTCACTACAGATTCACCTCTGGTGGAATCCAGACCCGAGGAAGCTTTCACATCTAAGGGAAAACAAGAGTGACCAGAGAAATGCCTGTCTGACATTTATAGCACTGTGATTTTTTTAAAGGAGTAAGGGAGTTTGCAAGTTGCAGAGAACACTTCATTTCTCTTAACACTGAAATTGGAAAGTAAAATATCAATATTAGTAGAATGACAGAGGAAGTGTTAAGAATCTGTGAGGCTGAAATAAGCAGTAAATTACATGTGCCATTAAAATGATATAAAAAGTTATAGAATGCTAGAAGTTACTATTGATTATATAGAGATGGGAAGAAAAGGGTAAAAATAAAGCAAATTCCATCCAGTTTTTTTTATAAAGTCTGATGTCCACATGAGCCTGTAGTTGTATTATAATTTGCATCCTGATATATCCTTATACATATTTTAAGTTGTATTATTATTTGCATCCTGAGTCTGTAAACCAGAGAGAGTACTTGAACATGGTATGTGTTCAACAAACTTTCTTGAGCTGAATTAGTGAAAAGAAGGAAACAGATGGGAGACATGGAAAAACAGTATGACTAGAGAAGTATTTAAACACTGAATCATTTGTATTTTGAAAAAGGTATAAATTTCTGATTATGAGAAGGTACAAGAAAGGAAGAGTCAATGTTGTAGGAAACAGAGGATACAAAAATAAACAAATAAAACTTATTACAAAAACATTCAAGTTGATAACCAATCAAAATGGATTCGGTAAGTGGATTTTTAAAAGGCCAGACTAACTGTATGCTGTACACCTGAAACTCAAGACGAAGGTGATTGCTATGGTTTGAATATGTCCCCTCCAAAATTCAGGCACTGCCACTGTGACAGTAATAAGACAGTATTAAAAGGTGATTAGACCATGAGGTTCCACCCTCATGAATGAATTAGGTACCCCTAGAAAAGGGCCTGCAGGAGGCAGTTCATACCCCCTTGCCCTTCCTCCTGCCATGTGAGGACACACCATGCCTATCCTCCTGAGAATGCAGCCCTCACCAGACAACCAACCCCACTAGCACCTTGATCTTGAACTTCCCAGACTCCAGAACTGCATAAAATAAAATTCTACTCTCAATAAATTACTTAGTCCAGGTATTCTGCTATAGCGGCACTAAACAAACTAAGACAGGTATTTTAAAAAATGTATTTCCTATGTTCTAAAAAGGAAAAGGAAAAAAGAAGGTATGACAGGTAAAAATTATTTCATAACAAAAATAGTCACACCTTCAAAAGAATGAGAAGACAACCCAGAAGCTGCAGGAAAATATTTGCAAAAGATATATCTAATAAAGGACTGCTATCCACAACATACAAAGAACTCTTAAAACTCAATAATGAGAAAATAACTGAACTTAAAAATAAGCAAAAGACCTGAACAGATAACTCACCAAGATGACATACTAATATAAATGGCAAGTATGTTCAACATCTTATGTCACTAGGGGACTGTAAATTAAAACAACGAGATACCACTAAAAACCCATTAGAGTGGTCCAATCCAGACCACTGACAATACCAAATGCTGGTGAGAATTTACAGCAACAGGAATTCTCATTCATTACTGATGGGAATGCAAAATCATACAGCCACTTTGGTAGACAAAGCCAGACACACACCTACCATATGATCCAGCAAGTGTGATCCTTGGTATTTATCCAAACTAATTAAAAATGTGTCCACAGAAAAACCTGCACACAGATATCTTATAGCAGCTTTATTCATAACTGCCAAAACTTGGAAGAAACCAAGATGTCTTTCAGCAGGTGTATGGATAAACAAACCCGTACATCTAAACAATGGAATATTTTTCAGTACTAAAAAAATGAGTTATCAAGCCATGAAAAGACAAGAAAGAAACTTAAATGCATATTACTAAGTGAAAGAAGCCAGTCCGAAAAGGCTACATATTCCAATTATATGACATTCTAGAAATGCAAAACAATGGAGACAGTAAAAGAAAAAAAGAATCAGTGGTTGCCAGGGGTTAGTATAGAAAAAAGATGAATAAACAGAGCACAGAGAATTTTTAGAGCAGTGAAACTATTTTGTATGATACTATAATTGTGGATATCATTACAAAGTGTCTAAACCCACAGAATGTACAATACAGAGAGTGAATACTAATGTAAACTATGGACTTTGGGTGATGATGACATGTCAATGGAAGCTTACGGACTGTAACAAATGTACCACTCTGGTGTAGGATGTTGATAGTGATGGAGGCTATAAATGTGTGAGGCCAGGGGTACATGGATCTTCTATACTTTCTATTCAATTTTGCTTGAACCTAAAACTGCTCAAAAAATAAGTTTACTAAAAAATAAAAACAACTATACCCTGAAGATGAAATCAAGAATAACAGAAGGGCCATCTGTATTCAAGATTGTCATTTTGTATGGTGAGACTTGACGGACTTCACTGCAGCAACACCTGGCATCAGGCATTCCCTCTAGAATCTATTAAACCAACCTGCCAAAGAATCGTTGGGCTTTTATCCTGCCTGATGGGTTTAGTGCACATATGACTTGGACTAGAGATAATTGGGTTTGAACCCCAGCTCTGCCATTTCCTGACTGTGATCCTCAGCAAGCTGAATTGTTTTCCTTATTTGTGGAGACTGAATAAGATCACATATGTCAAAGAGCTTTGTAAATTCTCACACACATACAAATATAAAGTGCTACTGCTGAAGCAATTTATACATGTATCTTAAGAAGTCCCAGATGAGTAAGAACTAGTTAGGATGCATGACTACACCTTGGTGTGTTGCTGTTTAGCTCCTGCCTCTGAGAAGCACTGATGGGGAAGCCCATGTCCCATGTACAAGGTAACCAGCTTGAAGGCAGGGACAGGCAATGAGGTAAAAAGAGACCTAGTTCCACAACTCTGCTATCAGATAAGCCACTGTGCTCAAGTTTTCTGTTATTTGCTGCTGAACATATTCTTTAGCTAATACAACAAAAGAAAGCAAAAATATCATGCATTATATTTTATGAAGTATATGTAACATGAATTCTAAAATGTGAACAAAACTCTAATCACAGAGTTGCCAGATAGCCTTCTAATGAACTCAGGTACTATTTAAAATACTAAAACTGTCCTCAAATACATTGTACAAACCCATTAAGACCAAAGTCGATTCACACTCAATAGGCATGGGTGGCTTAATCTTAAAATACCACATGAAAAAGCCAAGAACACACATTATATACTAAAATATAAATGGCATCAGGGTAGTAACTGCGTCCCACTGTGTTAACAATATGCTGGATGCACAGATGGCAATCAAAAAATAGATGCTGAATGAATAAGTGAATCCATCAATCTATAAACAAAGCATTATTTAATGGTAGAAAGTCCCAGAAAGCATGTGTTAGACTGAAACTGAAATTCCTAAAATCTTCAAAAGACCAGAGCATTAAAAGTATCATTATATATTTAAGATGTTAATTAAAATGCAAATTTTATGCTTAAAAAATAGTTAAAATGGCAAATTTTGTTGTGTATATTTTACCACAATAAAAAACCTTCCCCACATCCCCCCAAAAAGGTTAAAATTCTACAGAAAATATTACTAAGTCAGCATTGTAAAAACTAGTTGACCACATTTAAAACTAGAAAGATCAAAGTTACATGGAGAGGAATATGAAATAAACTGAGCAGCATTTTCATTGGTCACAAAAATGTTGAAATGCCATCCCTACCCCAGGCCTGTCTGCAGATCTCCCTGGTTCAGGTTCTCTCCAACTTCAGGGCCTCTCCATGTGGTCCTCCCTCAGTGTGGAGTGCCAGCCTCACTGACAGCTCCATACAGTAGAGGTTTGGTGGACAAATTAAAAAACAAAGAAAAAAAAGGAATACTTCGAAAGTTATCCTTGTGCAGGTCCACATTAATCTTCTCAGTATTGTTCCATTTTTAGTGTTATGTGCTGCCCAAGAGAGCACTAGATTTTTTTTTTTTTTTTTTTTTTGAGACAAAGTCTCGTTCTGTCGCCCAGGCCAGAGTGCAATGGCATGATCTTGGCTCACTGCAACTCCCACCTCCCAGGTTCTAAGCAATTCTCCTGCGTCAGCCTCCCAAATATCTGGGATTATAGGCGTGTGCCACCACACCCGGGTAATTTTGTATTTTTAGTAGAGGCAGGGTTTCACCATGTTGGCCAGGCTGGTCTTGAACTCCTGACTTCAGGTGATCCACCCGCCTCAGCCT